GGGAGTTATAATGACTATTTTTTAGCAGTTTGGAAATGGACAAGTTGGTATTATGTTAATCAGAGCATTAGTTGAAAGTATAATAACGTAAGTAAGTTTTAACACTTTATGTTGATATTATCGCGATCGAAGGCGTTTGACTTAATGCGACGTACAGCTGGCCGTGTTATATCTTTAGTAAAGATTATGAATTGAAAAGTTTCACCATGTTGGCATATTATATCTTCATTCACAATTAAAAAAAAGTTTGGTAGAAATTCTCTTATCAAGAAGTGGTCAAATAATCTACAGTTGATAATAATGGAGTTGACTTATTACACTGTCGGACACCTTCTAATGCGAATTTCTCGGAGATTCTTCGAAAGAAGTTTGGGAGGAAGAACGAGAGCTGAATTTTTATTAAAATAAAGTGGAGTCATGTGCTATGTAACATTTACTTATTTGTTTAGCCATTAGCAAGTGCATATCGTAATGATTCACAATAAAAATATAAGTACAACATTAGAATTAACTTAATCTGCGCTCTAAAATAAATTCAACCAACGCCTACAGTGGCAAAAGGAACATAAAGGAAAAGTAAGAGCGCCACCAGACGAGGCGGAAATCATTAATAAGTTTACAGAGGACTCGTACAGGAGAAGTTCACATAAAATAATGAAAACTGATCCCATCACATGTTACAGGGGACGACCAAAATCATTCAATAGCAACAATGAAGCTACGTCTTACCATAAAACCATAAACCTCATATAAAATTTACAACAAGAGGCAACCTTTGGGTTGATTGACAGGAGGAAGGAGGAAGTATTCTGTGCGCTTCCCACCCAACCGCATGGAAAACAAATAGAATAAATTGTTTTCGAACAGATTTCAAAAACAGCGCATCACAACCACAGATTGGCAACCAAAGAACTAGGCCATACTGGACTATAGGCCTAATTAGAGATATATATAAACTTCTGTAAAGTAAGAAAGGTCAAACTACTTAGCTTACTTTTTCATGAAATTAAAAGCTGATCTTGATTTATCAACCACGGCAGCACTTGTTGCGCACCTTATGCTTACGGAAATCTTTCCAGTTGATCGCATTGGGACAACTTTTTCAACAACAGTTGAAAACCAAAGCGTTTAGAAGGACTAACACCGCACGTCTTCATTGGCACATAATTGTTAAATAACACAGACATTAGGTAAAGCATTACCTAAGGGTTACTAGGCTAACTTACCGTTAGGATCGGCAACGTGCAAAACTTTGCTCCAGGAAATTTGTGAGGAGGTAAACATTAACAGCTGCAACCCAATGGACTTAAAATCTCTTTAACTAAGGTTTAATTGTTTGCCAGTATAGTAATTGATATTTATATTTATAGTAAGAAAAACACCTTATCATTATATTCGAGAGGTAATTGGTATTTTACTAGCAATCTTCACATTAACGCTGAAAGTGTATAAGTTTTCATTATCCATCATATCCAACCTTTTATTATAACTGCGGTCTGCTAACATAAGTTTGACTCTCTTTATATAGCACAGAATGATTGACGTTAAGACTCTAAGAAATTAAACTGATCATTTCACATTATAAAGACCAAAGTCACGCAGCACGTAGTTATAAGTTAATCCTACCACTCATTTCTTTTACTTACTTTCTTTTAATGCAAGCAGTTTGTTATTCTCTTTTGAGTATTATAAGGAAGAACTATAAGTAAGAATAGAATATCACATTCCAAATAACTTAGTTGACATACTTCAAATGCGATAAACTAACCGATTGGCAACGCCAATTCGCATTCGAACAAAAGTATCAAGAAACGAAAATGACTTCCTTCTTCCTCTTTCCGGATTGAACCGCCGACTAGGTAACACACCACCGTCCGGTATAAAATCCACTGTCAACCTCTTTAAATTGCACGCTATAGGTGCCGAATTAAGGATATTTTGATAGAAGACCGTCCGTTCCGTTCAATAACCACAGACGATAGGTCATCTAAGTTAAGTATAGGTATTTATATTAAAAGGAAGTTGGATTATAACTTCAAGACATATTAGGATTTTTATTGAAATGGTGAATATAAATCACCAAGGTAAGGACGCCTGAAATAGCCACTGAGGATTACCGCAGCATATTAAATTGAATAGCAATTTTTCTAAAACAAGAAGGAGAAACCTACTACAATTAATATATTTAGCTTGCGGCTCAGTTCTTCTTTCGAATTGCGGTTACAATGACGCTTTAAACAAATATCTTTATTTTTGTGATCCTTTCCATAATTATTAATTTTCCGCATGACAATTAAACATGGCACTTCTCCCAACCAGCATACAATTTATCTCATCTCAAAATTTCAGAAAAAGATTCACAATCCACTTTCACAACACCACTGCGGTGTGTTTTACCTAGGTTATTTACCGCGTACTATATCACGATTCTAAGTTAGCTGCCATTTAAAATTGAGTTCTGATCGCGTCATTTATCCTTAAGTTCCTCATTGTTATAACCAAAGTTCATGAACGTTAATTCCAATCTGGGACAAACCTTTTGTCGAATTTCTCGCAAAAGTGCTCTCGATGGCAGTTTTAGGCTACTTCCTCTCACCATTACTGGAATTAGTTACAAAAGACCATTATTCCTGAAGCGAACTTTAGAAATTTTTCAGCTTTTGAGCTCTGGGCTTTTATTTAGATCAGACGTAACAATTTTAAATGCACATCGTTAGGAAATATCCGATCATTTGCCAAAAATAAGTTTAAAAATTTCATTACCTAGCCGGCAAATTCTCTCACGTAATATCATGCAATTCAGTTAATGCATTCACTAATAAGCCATTAGTCCTTCAAGGGTTTCTTCGAAGTTTTAGGTTAAATGTTTCTTTTTGTTACTTCATGTTCATCTTTTTAAATAGTCGATTCAGTAACAAACCCGTCATGATCGAAAACCCAATGCTGTCCAAATTTATAGTAAAATAGTAGAAAAACTTCATCTGAAACGTTTTTGAATATCATCTAGGAGAAAGTTACAGAGTGTTAGTTTGGGGAAAAAGAAATCCATAATTTTTAAATGAACTTCAGGACTTTATTTAACATGCTTCGGATTGTCCGATTTGGGTCAAATATGCACCGTTTTCTTGTACGATTTGTTGCCATTTTAAAGGTAACTTCAAAATGCCTCTCTCATAGAAGTCCTGGTCTCTATTTGCAAAAAACTCTAGTAGTCGATTTTCACAATCCTCCCTAGATTCCAATTTTTTATCATTAAAGAAATTTTGCAATGCAAGAAAAAGATGATAATCGCTTGGTGTCAAGTCCGGACTGTATGGCGAATGCATTAAAATTTCCCAACCAAGCTCCCGAAGTTTCTGGCGAGTCACTGTAGATGTGTGTGGCCTAGAGTTGTCCTGGTGGAACACGACACATCTCCTGTTGGCCAATTCTGGCCGTTTCTGGTCAATCGCTATCTTCAAACGGTCCAGTTGTTGACAGTAGGGATCAGAATTTAGCGTTTGGCCATATGGAAGCAACTCATAATAAATAACCCCCTTCCAGTCCCACCAAATGCATAGCAAAAACTTCCTGGCCGTTAGTCCTGGTTTGACCACCGTTTGAGGTGCTTCACCGCTCTTTGACCACGATCGTTTTCGCACAGGGTTATCGTAAGTGATCCATTTCTCATCTCCAGTCACCATCCGTTTAAGAAATGGGTCTATCTCATTCCGTTTGGCCAAGGCTTCGCAGATGGAAATTCGATCCATCATGTTTTTTTCTGTTGATTGGTGTGGCACCCAAACATCGACCTTCTTTTTGAATCCAGCTTTGTGTAAATGGTTTAAAACTGTTTTATGGTCGATTTTTAGCTCCTGGGCGATGTTACGACTGCTAACATGCCGGTCAACTTCGATCATTTCTCCGATTTTATCGACATTTTCGTCGACCGGCCTACCTGTGCGAGGTGCATCTTTAACATCAAAAATTTCTGAACGGAATCTACCAAACCAAAATTGCACATAATTGGCTGTTACAGTATCGGAACCATAAACACCATTCACAATTTTAGCCGCCTGGCTTGTATTTTCGCCTTTGTCAAAGAAAAACTGTAAAATGTAGCGAATTTTCTCTTTGTTCACTTCCATTTTTAACACGCCATAACTCACAACTGAATGCACCGAACAAACAACAGCAAAAGAATTTGTTTTACTGCGAAATGACACCTTTCCAACGAGCATAAATCTGAAATTGTTTGATCGATACTTTACGAGAAATCTATCAGTGCAGCCATTTACCGAAAAAATAATGGATTTCTTTTTCCCCAAACTAATATTAACAAAATAAAGGTGTTTGTCTAAAAACCAGATAGATCTTTTTACTAGGTAGTACATGTTCATGTGCACAGAGATGTCATTAAATCCAAAAGTCCAAAACGTATGAAAAGCGATGGTCTTTTGACGAAACTTTCTCACAGTCTTTTTCAACCATTATCCCGAAATATTTTTCGTTAAATCTCTTAATTCTTCAGCTATATAAAATAATCATGACTTGTAGAAAGCATGACTTGTAGAAAGCGCTCAACCTACGATATTTTCAAAGTTTGTATTCAAAGGTATTTTTAGCTCGGTTTTTCTAATCAATCATTCGTCCACGAAGGTTTCAATATTTGAAAGGGAAGCATTCAAAAGAAATTTCCGCGAATTTAATGTTTGTAAGATATTGTTAATTTAACTCAGATTATTTATGATTACTTTCTTCTCTGCGATTCTGGTGATCCGGAAGTGACTGTCATCAGATGATTTATTATTATACAATGTATACTTTGTAGTCATCAACTACTTTGATAAAATTCAAAAAATGGTTTTTAGTTGCGGGTAATTTGAGATTCCATACGCCTCTGTGGCCTTTTTGTTTTGTATGATTTTTGTTTTGTCGTGGTATTTCCAATTTTAAAAGGATTGAATTTCGGAATTTTCTTTAAAAAAAAATTTCAGAAGTACCTTTTTTTTTAAAAGACCATGTTTGCGAAATATGCTGGTAACATTGGTGTTCCCACGACTAGATTATTCTCAAACAAACCCGAAAGGCCGCAGAGGCGTTGCCCTAAGATTATTGAACCTAGATGCGACCCGAAGGACGAAAACGTAGGCAAAGATCATAAATTGAAATTGACCGACAAGGTGTTTACTGCTAAACCCAAAAAGTCCATGTGGGAGTTTCCTGAGTGCAGTGGTAATATCTGTCAAAAAATGCCAGTACGTATGGATGAGCTCTATTATAAGATGAGCGACAAAAGACGCACATATACGCAAACATGGAAAACTGGTCCTTCTCTCCGTACAGAAGTTTCCGAAATATATCCGCCAATCTGTCGTGCACACCCAGCACCGACAAGGCTTCCACGCATAAAAACAAGACGCATAACAGCTTGTCGTTTTGCCCGTTATGTTAACTGGTTGATACCTTGCAAAGGTCAAATTCCAAAACGTCCTTGCCCTTGGTTTGTAATGGAAAACTGTCCCAATGTATATGGGAAGTGGAAAAATCCAGTCAAATGTGAAAAGGTACCTACTCCGTATCCTTGCTACTCTGATTGCGAGCGTTCTGGACAAGTCGCACTTAGAACAATCGAGTGCAAATGCTTAGATAGACCGGCGATGTGTGAAATATGGGAGCAATCACGGAGACGGAAAGCTTTTATTAAAGGTAGAGAACCAGATATAGGGCCTTTTTTTGAAAGGGTGGATGTAGAATATAAGGTATGCAACAACGATAAGAACAAAAAAGGAAATTCGAAATTAGATTGAGGGAAGATTCTCGCACACAATATAAACATCCGGCTTTGCAGAATTCCAAAAAATATCAATTTATTGTATGCAAAAAGGGGCTACTCGATATCTCTTGGTATGCGAAGTGTAACCGCTGTTAGGCAGAACCACCTAAGCCTATCGACTGCAAATGTTTGGATAAATCGGCATGTGTGCAGTGTGAGAAGAGTTTCAGAAATCTCTTTTCACCAGACGTTACCTCGAAACATTGAAAGAAGAAGTTTGTGAATATCTTGTCAGATAGAGTAAAATATATAAGCGAACGAAAGGAAAATTTGTTTCAGAAACTCTTTTGCACACTACGTCTAGTTGGTTTCAACAAATATAGAGCATCATTTTCCACCGATGGGTGCTTGACTTTGCTGCTGATATATTTAGACTGGCTGAAACCAACTCACTTAGGGATGTCGTAAAACATTCGCTTTTATTACCAATTGCAAGACGATATGATGAGCAGCATTTACCGATGAAGGCTGTAGAAAATCTCTGCAATTTAAATATCCTCCTGTGACTTCAAGACTTTAACATAATATGTAGTTAACCTAATTTTATGAAGTTTGGGAGTGTGAATACTGCTTTAAGCTCTTAAAAAATAAACGAGATTTTGGTGTTTCTACTGATGGTAAATTCATTAATTTCAACGTTCTGTTTTCTGCAGATTAAAATTACATTTTTACATCTTTCGAATATTGACTAATTATTTATTTACAAAAAAAAAAGGAAACCTATACTAAAAACAAATTGTAACTAAGCTCAATATAATTACATCGTTTCATATCATTGAGCTTGGAAAACCATAGGCAATAATCCATCAAACAGTTTATGCTGGTTTATTAGGTTTAATAAACTTAATTATGAACATCGAATACGTTCCAGAGAAGTGCTGTGCTTCTATAATATCATTTGTTTTGGGGAAGGTTTTTCATAAAACCGAGTACACGTAAGTATCAACTAACAAAGGCAATGGAAAATTTCAAAAAAATAGGTCAAGCTAAGCTTAAATTATTTTTGTGGACGACACGACTAAGCTAGGTTTATTGGATGTCTTTGGTGATAATGTGAATGAACAAGTAAATAAATAAATAATACTAACCTTTCTATGAGAGCTGCAAATTTTGCATTGCTAGGAAAGTTACTTTTTGATTTTGGTGGCGGGTTAATTGAATGACAGGCGTACTTGTCCTCTTCCAAATAGTTGTGTTTATAAATTGAAAATAAACCGAGACGTAACCAAATAGTTGTGCTTATAAATTGAAAATGAACAGGGTCATTCCGCAAACGGCACTAGCACCATATGCTACACTTGCTAGTTTCCAAAGCCCATCGGCGTTGACAGTGAGAAGGATCAGGCAGAAAAGATGCAAAGTTGTTTTAACTTGCGTAACGAACCGTGCATTACATATTTAAGCAGCCTAAAGCTTAGATATGAGTTGTTGCATTTTATGCACAAAAAACTTCACAAATGAAGGGGGCATCCAAAGAAATATTTACCAACTTCGAAGCCAACGCGAAAGTTTTCAAAGAGTTTCCACAGAAAAAAACTAAGTAAACTTTTATTCCTCTACAATTAGGTCGATTAAAGAGTTGCTTTGCGCTATAAGCTCTTCATATTGTCTCAGTGATGAAACCTTGAAGAATGCGCTATTTGGAGTAAAGAACGTAGGCATTTCGCGTCCGCTGATATTTGTAGCATTATCTAATAAGGAGGACTCCATTTGATTTGACTCCAAACCATTTAATCCTAGGATCTATTTCTGGAAAAAGAGCATTATGTAATGATAAAATAGAAAATATGCGAGACCGATGGAGACAGTTCGCCGACCTCTTTTAAGAGGGGTGAATACAAGAAGATGCTCCTAATCTTACACGAAGATAAAAATGGTTCTTTAAGCGACCGCCCGCTAAAGTGACGATGACTCCTAGAAAGAAAGGTTGTAAGTGTGCCGCCTGCAATAACCCTATTAGTAACCAGTCGTCCATAGGGTGTGATAGATGTGCGTCGTGATTGAATTGATTGCGTCATGCATTGGGGTTTCGAAAGAGGATGTGACCAGAGTTAGTGATAATGGGCCGCTATCTGCGTTTTCTTTTATTTGTTTAGCTTGCAAAGAAAAAATGGTTGCGAAGAAGTCTACGTAATTTCACGTCTAACTTGGACGTAACTTATTTGAATTCAATATTTCATAACCTGGATAGGAGGGTGAGGCGATGGACTTGGAGTTGTTGTTAAGAAATGCGCCAAACAAGTGCAACAGACTCAAGAGGTTCAAAAGATCACTGGCGCTAAATTATTGTCCTGCATTTCGGAGATCAATGCGATGCATAGAGTAGCCAACAGGCCATATATTTCGCCATGCGCGGTTGCCGGAAAGCTATTGATTAAATTAACTTATTTTTACGAGGTGCTTATGCCGGTCCGTGATATAAGCTTCACTTAAAAAAATCTATTCTCGTGAAGCTTAACTCAATCGTGCTTCGTGACAAAATTATGAGCATGTACATTAAAGACTTGAAAGCCGTTTCTCGCATGGCTTCTGATTTTATTGACAATTCAAATATCCCGAGTTAAGTGTTGAATGGACGCATAAATCTTAACGATCATCTCTGTCCGGCTGCTGAAGAACCCCCTCTATCAAGCTACGGCGGGATAGGTAGATTGTGAAATAAAGGGTGAGCAATGCACAAAAACCATTTTCTACCTTGCCTCTGTCGAATAGTACGACTATCAAGCATGGCCGCTAGGGTTCTGTTAAATTTTTCAAGGGATTCTTGGTTAATATGCTAACTACAATAATTGAGGAATGGATAGTATGGCTTGAGTGAGTCTTATTTTGATTGATGAATTTGCTCTTTGCGCTTCTTTCGTTTGATAAATTATAATGAATGAATTATATTACTTAATGTGTATTATATTAATTCTTATTTTTATGCTAATTATTCTTACGAACTATTTCAATTATGACATTTGGTTCCCCACCCGTTATCTTGAACTCATTTATTACTCTTATGAGTAACACTAATTCGTAGTGGCTTTGCAAGTAACAGTCCTGCCCTGCCGTAACCACTCTCAGCTGTTAACGATTGCATTCATAAATTGCCAAAGTATAAGGCTCTGTGTGCCGTCCACTAAGTCTGATGAATTGTAGACTGTTGTGGTTGATAAATTTGATTTGATTGCCATCTCTGAAAGGTTAAAACCGCATGTTTCTAGCCGCTCAATTCATATTTCAGGCTATATCTTTGTCAGGAATGACATGCTTCATGGTCGAGGTGGCTGCTTGTATCTATGTATCTAGTATGATTAAGTTTAAGTTAATTTTCAAATGTTCGGAACCTGGATCTTGTGAGTCTCTATTTGTTGAGTTTGGTGATGATTATACTAGGATTCTTTTCGGTTTTGTCTACTTTCCTAATGGGAATCTGAACATGTTTGAAGCCAGACGTCTCGCAGTACTGTTGAAGTACTCTAAAATAACTATTGTTGGTGACTTTAACTGTAACCTGTTTAAGGTAAGTAAGGCTAGTCTTATAAGGTCGCTCTGCTTGAGGTGCGATGTATCGATATTTCATAACTTTAAACCAACACATTTTGATGTAGCTCTTTGAACCATTTCGTTGCTTGATTTCTTGTTGGTGCAAGGCCTTTACACATCATATCGTGCCTTAATCTTTGCTAACTTGTGCATCAAATGCAAAAATGTCACTAATGTAACGTGGCAGATACTAGTGAGGGTCCATCGCGTTTCTTCGAAAGATTTTATGTGCTACATTCTCGTCTTGCTTATAGTATATCTTCTTTGTGGGTCTGTTGTGACCTGTGCTGTTACTAAGATCCTCCTGTTGTAATTTTTTATTATAATAAGCGAAGGCAAAAAAAACTACATTATGACAAAAATATAAACAGCAAAGCTGTTGAAAGCCGAGATAATTTTGACGCTGCAATAAGGTTACTTAATACAAATGAATCGAATATAAGATATATATACAATTATTTTACACACAATTTATACTGTGCAATCATCAACTACTGTGACAATGCCCACTAATAAAAAAATAAAAATTTAGCCAATCTTGATTAATTTGAAGTGTAAGTTCATTTATTATTTGAATATTTCTCAAGTTTTGTTATTCTGAAAATTCAAAAAAGATTAGATATTCTCTATTTGGAAAACAGTTTCGAATGATTTAAAATTATACAAATTTTTTCAGTGAACAATGTTCCCCAAATTTTCGGATCAGCTTGGTTTCCGCTTATTTGCACTACAATCACGAAGAGTTGTCATAAGACATGGTTCCCGCAAAGATTGTGGCATAGTTGTTGAACCAAAATGCGACCCAAAAAACCCGGATGTCTGTAAGGGAAGAGAAGTGAAAGTTACCGGTAGAGCGTATGTTATCCCCAGGGAGGAGAACTCGATGTGGGAGTATCCTGAATGCTGTGCGAATGCTTGCCTCGACTTGCCGGCACGTATGGATGAGCTCCACTATAAAATGAGTGATAAGTTGGTACGCCAGTACTCGCAAACATGGGCAGCTTGCCCTCCGCTTCGGATAAGGGAAACCGTGATATGTCCAGAACCCTGTGAGGCAATACCTTTACCATCGAGACCTATACGAAAGAAGGGAGAAGGGAATTCTAGTGCTGACAATCCACAACTGGCCTGCCCACAGCCGAAATTGCAAGGATTGATAGGGTGCAAAGACGCTTCAAAACACTCATGTCCACACTTTGAATTAAAAGGATGTGCCCCATCCCGTTCCCCACCGAGCTGCGGACCAGATCAAAACATATTAAGTAAATGCAAAAAGGAGCCGACACCGTATCCATGCTTTTCAGAATGCCAACGTCCTAAACCTGATCCTCTCAATCCTACCGAATGTAAATGCAATGACCCATTGCCAATGTGTTTAGTGTGGGAAGAGTTTCGGAGACGCCTTTCTAAGCCTAAGCCTAAAGAGCAAGATTAAGAACTTTAAAGCCCAGATTTTAAAGCTTAAAAGCGGAGAAAAAGAAAGTCATTTCCAGTAGCCCTTTACACACTATATCCAGGAATTATGGAGTCTTCTTGCATGATATAAGTTTGTCAACATGCGGCAGAGGTTAGATTAACCTTCTTAGAGCTATCGCAATGACTTTTATTACATTGCCAACCTTAGGACGGTAAAAAACCCTTGCTTTGATCTCTTCGAAGCAGCATTTTTTGCAACGATCAGCGCTGTTTGAAATCTGCGGCTTAAAGATCAAAAATCTAGGCCAGTTTTAAATTTTGTTTGATTTTAACAATTTTGGGTCTAATGCGAAAGGGAAGCGATCTAAGGCTGAAGAATTTTTTCTTTAATAAAAGGTTACTCTATTTTTCATCTCACTACTATATATGCTACGAAATGGTTGTTTCATTGTAATATATTTCACTTGAACTTACTAAAATTGAGCGTCAACAAAACACGTAAGTTGGCAATATCCAAAGTCTAGCTTCTCCTAAAGCGTCTTCTTATATAGATTCGACGCTGATTAAGGCTAATTTTTTTATTCTCTGTATACCGCAGATCATTTTTACTTTGCTCTTTTATATTTTTTTAGAGGAAAGTCGGCGGTGTGTTTACCTGAGGAAGAAATTCTACTGAAAGCGTACTCGCTCGGGTGACGTACGCTCGCAGTGGAAGGCTTTGTTAATTCGAGGTAACAGTTTTTAGAATTTACATTTATGACTTATTTTGATGTTAAGCCTTCGCGAGAAATAGTAAGATTATTATTAAGACAGGAGAGATACATCATATAAGTGCACGCCCAGTGTGCGAACGCTACCTAAATAGACGGTATTAATTTTAATACGAGTGTTACGTGTGTATATAAAAATATGTATGTGTTGTATTTGAAGTAAATAATAAACACATATATATATATATATATATATATATATATATATATACACTTCATCTATCCACATGCAATATTAATTGTGCTGTAGCTCTTCTTGTTCTTTCATTCTGTTTAGCAAAAACCTTTTATTTTACACTCAAATAAATCAGTTTATATGTATGCATGTGTTTGTACGCCCTTTAATTTATAGTATATTCTTTGCTGTATGGTAGCGAAAATAAAGCATTTAAAGTTTAAATAACAATTCAAATGTTAATTTCTTGAATCAACTTTAAATTAAAAGTTAATTTGTACGATAATACCATAAATAAAACTGTGAGCAGCATACCTCACAGTTCAGTCGAAACATTCATACAGCTATGCAAGTGTCTTTTATTATTCACAATTTTTTGGTTTTTTTTCTAGTGGCGCAAAGTATTGGTAAAGTCGTAAGGGTCAACACTAATGATTTAAGTAGGAAAAAACGTTATGTGGCTTTTCCTGAGGGATCTTCAGTAACCGTGAGTTGTGCGGAAATAAGAAAGAAATAAAAACTCCGTTTGAAACGCATCAGTTTTATGGATAGGCAGCCATTTGTTTGACTGTCGGTATGATAGGCAATCCAAGCAGAGACTTTCTTAGTTATGCTGTTAACTATGGTGTGGCGTACAACTTGCCCACTGTTGAGTGGGCGCGTAGGCATCGTAACGGTTTTTTTAATAACACCAAAGTTTTAAGACAAAGAAGATCACGTCATGATTTTTATGAAAAGTTAATAGTAATTCTTGATAGGTAACTATGAATCATTATTTGTAGTTATTTTTTTGTCTATTTCAATTAATCAAATTTTTTTACAGTGCTGGTTTCAACGGAATGTCGTGCGTCGCTCGTGCTTTATGTGAAAGTGCAAAAATTTTTGGTACTTCAGAGTCGAAACGCGGCAATATGATTGAAGAAATTATGAAAACTATATTCAGGTATCTGAAGTTAAAAAATTTGTAGTTCTTTAATCTCGTCATAGATATTTGAAGAATTGAACGCGTACTACCCCAAATCATTTGACTGTTGGTGTAAATGTACTTATATCTGCTAATCTATCTATATCTGCGGCCCGCTTCCATAAACTTAATTATTAAGACGGACCTACTGACTTATAGAAACGAGTTATTGAATTAATTTCTTTCCTTCCATCTTTTATTTTGTTATGCCCATCATCAAAGGATGAGGGGTATATTCATTCTGTCAAAACGTTTACAATACCCAGTAGGAAGCATTGGAGACCCCACAAATTATATATATTCTTGATCAGCATCAAATTCTAAATCGATTTAAGTATGTTCCTCTGTCCGTCTGTCCGTCCGTCTTATGTCTGTTGTAAGTATTTTCCCGGCCGCAAAAATAACATAAAATTAAGCAGAAAGTTGGAAGTTGTTGCACGCAGGTTAGTGTTGAAAATGGGCCAAACCAGTCGAAGGACACGTCCACAGCACCACGTAAACTGAGAACCCTTTTTTTCAAAGGGAACGGAAAATTGGCTTTTTGGTCATTACTCATAATCTACAGCAAGTAAATGCACAAAAATTTGAACACATATTCTATGGGCGACGGTGTCACACCTGTGCACAAAAATATAAAAAATTGATAACAAAAAATTGTAGTATATTAAATTTTCATTATATTTCCATTACCCTCATAACACGCAGAAATAAACTTCAAAAGTCCCAAATTCTTGGCCAGTTACAACCCTTGAATGCACTAAAACATGTCCCCTTTTTCGTCTGTCCATCTGTCCGTTTGTGTAACTTTGTAGATGTAGAATGTCTATTCTTGCGTTAGCGAAAATGAAGATATCATCTAAAAACTTGCACAAGAATTTGGAATTAACTTAAACATATTAAAACCTACAACGTCCGCGTGCCCCTACGAGAAAATCTTTTATTGTGAAAATAGAAGAAATCAGCTGCGCCCGCTCATATCATAGAGCATTAGAGTTTTGTTCTTTTACTTCTTTCATCTTTTTTGGAGGTAATGGGGGGCTGATGGGGATGGAAGATTCGGTATCGACCGAATTTAATGTTCTTACTTGTCTATTTTAGTTTTCCTTCAACTCATTTAGCGGAAAATGAGCCAGATGCACATCATTATTTTGAATATGTCCACCGCAGTGCTACACTTGACGATATCACTTGTAGTTCACAGCATTGGGAATGCGAAATTTCTCTATTGGATTTAGCTTTAGGAAAATATTTAACATCGATTGACCAAGGGACGTCCAACTATAAATATGTGTAAATATCTTCAAACCTTAGATGCTTAATGTAATAAAGACACATATCTAACTATTACCATGGTGAAAATCCACCATAACACTAGTGTGGTAGTGTTTTTGGCGTATGACTTGAATAGTACTCGATTCTTTGCTTATTTGTAGCGCATAGAAACTACTTGTATTTTCAAGCCACATATGGTTCCTCCTTAAAGTGTGCTTTTTAAAATGTATCTGTTTTCTTATCTATAATTTTTTCAATAAAAAGTTGATTAAAAACTCGGAAAATGATATTATGTGTAATTGACGAAAGGATTTTGTTTGTGTACGGAAACTATGTTTCAGAAATGAAAGGTAAATACTGTAGCCATCCTCGCTAGCAATCACAATTTCGATTCTCCTTGTCTACGTGAAAAATATAATATATATAAAATATAATATATAATATAATTAATACATATAATATATATACATAATATAATTCGTTTGCAATAACTTCACCCTCCGCATTGAACCAGACATTCATTTCTTCCAGATTACCTGAGAAAACCAACCGTAGGGGTACCTAGGGCATAATCAACAAATTCGAATTGTCCGAAACTCGTTAAGATTATAGCTATAGTCTTGTATTATTATCTTCTATTTGGGCAAGCATATATATATATATATATAAATACACGTATGTATGCAAGTGTACGGAGCACAATTTTTTTTCGTTTTGCGAACTGGAAATGGAATCTTGTAAAGATACTACTGCTTTGTCATAGTAACTTATGTAATTCGCCCATGGCGTTTATGTGCTAAACCTACCCCTACACAATTTTTTTCCCCGCTTTTCTACGAGGAACCACCTTGACCTTTTTTTAAAGATTATAGTGTTTAAAAATAGTTTACAGGCGGCTATTTAGTAGGTTATCTTAAATTATTTCTATTGTCATTTCTCTCCTACCGCTAAATCTGAAGACAAAGAGTTGCTTACTGCAGTTAAAACTTTAAGATTGTCCACAACTCTGAATATCTCATTGGTTCCCCGATGAGACCGGCCATACGAATCATATCCTGAAGATTGCATGCTCAGCATCTTCCTCTGCGCACATATGAGTGTACTATCATTTTTAGATGTTTTCAGAATTAACCAGTGTCATTCTGCCGACCATAGTACGAACAGAATGAGCGAGAACGTCCACCTAACTGTCATTGTTTCTCTCTTTGCACTTGCCACCTCTACCTGGGAACGGTCCTTTGTTAGATAGGTTTTACTTCAACTGTTAAAATATCAATCGATACGTCTTCTGAAGAGCTTTTTCGGAGGCCACCGATGTATATATGAAATGTATATAAGAAGAAGATGAAAATATGCAAAAAAAATAAGGGTGGCTCTCCTCATTACGATGCACAGCACTTACAGCATCAAAAAGTGAGTGAAAAATGTATTGATCTAGTACTGGTAACCAAATACTTCGGAAGCTAATTCCACGAGAGGCGGATAGCCTCTTACGCCTACAAAGGCAGAAAAACAAGAGTCAAACTTAATTGCGTATATATTTACGACCCACCCGGAATTCTAGTTCATATAGTGTCGAGTATCGGCACCAGATTCTCATACGAAATTGCAACGGACTTTAACGCCTGTGAAGTCGACTGGAGCAACGAGATTTGACAATGTAAAAGGACACTGTAAAAGTCTGTACATATATTACCTACAAAATATCAATGATTCCCGGGACTGATATGCGTTGTAGTGTCTAGCTAAAAATTTACTTTATTTATTGTTATCGTCAAATGGCGTCTGTCAAAATTTCATGTAGTTGTTTATAACTGGTGTTTTTGTTAATCACGCAATTCGTTGGCGATATAAAAAATTCCGTTGAAGCTTAGCTTTGATTTGAAAAGTGTAAAGCAACTCTTGACTCTCTGCTGAATTGAAACGAGTTTGTACCGAAGACACGCCTACTCGTACATCGTGAAAATTTGTTTAAAAATTATTTGCAAAATGTAGAAATTCCTTATGATGTGATGTATGTTGGAGCTGAAGAAGTGGAAGAAAAAAGTAAGCGGAGGGCTGTTTTTAATATCAATCAATTTACGGTTACCTTATAGGTTCCAAACTATTTCAGTTACTGTTTTTGTTGTTTCTTACCTTAAAAAGTTGAATTTGATTTCTTCGATATCAATAAAAATAATTCTAAGGAAGAAAAATTTCTTTTTTAAAACAAATTATTATTCATTGATTTCATTTCTTTATTTAATAACGCGTAACATTTATTTATATAATAATTTTATTTTTTCCTTTTTTATCCGTTTTATTTAAGTTTTATTAAGTTAGTTTAGTTTTTTTATGATCAGTTTTGTCTTTAAATTTTGAATTTATTTTAGTTAATGTTTAAGTTTTTTCTCTTTTCCGTATTATTATTCTGTTAATAATGGTTTCATAATTTCTTATAAGATCTATGACTTTGTATGTTCGTTTAGCTTAAATATTCCGTTATTTATTTAATTTTTTGTTTGTTTTTGTTTCTTTGTAGTTTTATTATTTCGCCGGTTTTTGGTTTTAATTAGGTTTATTTGTTAATCTATTATTTTTTTTTACAATATTTATTGGGTTTCACTTACATTTATATGTCATTTAATAGTTTATTTTATTTTTAAATATTTGTATGTATTATTTGCTTTTGTTGTGTTTGTCCTTTTTGTTACTATGTTAATATGAAAACTTGAGTGTAATGTCAAGTGTGTGTGGTTTTGTAATTTTGCAAATATGTATTTAATTTGATTTTCGTGTTCTCTTTTGAGGGTTTTTTTACAATAATTCATTTGGGTTGAAATTATTTATTATTGTAATTGTAGAGTTTATAATAAATTGTTATCTTTTGTTGTTGTTGTTTTTTTTTTTGTATTTATTCATATGTGAAATGTAAATGCATTATTTTCTGTTTTCTTTTTTTTCTTTTTTTTTTTTTTTTTTTGTTCATATTCGTTTTTATTTACTTTTTTGGAACAATTTTTCTTAATATATTTTGTTGTTGCTTTAACGCCTTTTTTCCTTACTTTTCTTTAACTTAAATACAAGTGATAAAATACTTCATTGTATACACTTAAAAGCTAAAAAGTTTACAAACATATTTATTTATTATTATCGTTTTTATAATTTTTTTTGACTATTAATCTATATGCGTCTTTTTTTTAAATAAGTTGTGTAACTGTCTGAATTTTGAGAGTTTTTTTTGTTGTAATTTTTGGATATTATTCGTTATGCTAATATTAAAAAGAAATAATAATAATTCGTTAGGTATTAGTATATTTGTGTAAGAATTGCTCTATAATAAACTCCTTTTAACTTAATAAACAGCAAGTCCAGCGGGTTGTTATCTATCATCTGACCGATTATTTAACGTCTCTTGGCCAGAGCTTAGTTTAGTTGTGGTGTTGTTTTCCTCAGTGATGCTTCGTAAAAGCAAATGTGTTGTTAATGCTTTTCATGTTTAATATTTTGCTTTTGTCTTTAATTTGTTATTGTGGTGGTGTTTGTTTTTTGCTTTTTATTATGATTTACTTAATATTTATTATTATTATTATTAATAATTACTTGGCATGTATACAAAAAATATAGTATTTATTTATTTTTTTATTATTACTGTTTTTTTTTTTTTTTTTTGAATTTGCTGGTTATTTCATAATTTGCTTTAAATGCTTACACCTAAAAAATTAAGTATTAAAAAAAATTTTATTATTCTTATATATTTTTTTCATTTATTTTTTTTTTTATTTTTATATAGTCACACATATAAGAAGTAGTCTTGAGTTTTAAATTTACATGAATATGTTACATAAAAAAAAATATATGAGATTAGATTTGGCCTAGGCCGAATTTTTTAATACCCACCACTAGCTTACACAGATTATTGATTGCAAAATCAGGGTAAGATACCGTATCGTATATCGTAAAGTACATGTCGTAGATGTTCGGTATTGTAACAAATTTCTATGTAATGTGGCAAGAGATTGTGCCTTGTGTCTTAAGCCAAAAATTTTGGAACAAAGAGAAACTATCAATTTTCTGATGACTGTATACTGGCTAAAGATTCAGTTGAGAGCTGCTTTTCGAATTCAATCTGCGATCAAGTTTGTATCCTTGGAATTTCGAATTGTTTGCATTTACTCATTCGATTTGAAGGCTACGGTTGAATGCAAAACTAATGCCCTGTTTATTTACGCTAAAATCTAGAAAGGATGCCTTTCCATTTTCCTTCGTAAGATTTAAGAAATTTATTATAATTCACTACATAACATTTCATTCGAGACATGCATTATTTCATTTGCTTACTATGATTGGTTAAGTATTTCAAAGAAAATTTGCAAATGAATGCAAGAGATTGACTAAATAACATAAAGAAAAATTGCGGGATACCCCCGCCCTTTCGGCGTTTTACTTCTTTCAAGTTATTATGAAACAAATAAGAATGCTATAGACCGACAATTAGTCACCATACACCGAATAATGCAGCCATTCATTCATTTTCTTAATAACACACAAAAATTAAACGTTGTTATTATGTAAACACATTATTTTCATAAAAGCCCTCATATTGGAGAATGCTCGAAACGTTAACTAAGATGGTCTCAATTTAGCAAATTTAACTTGCTCGCCGAAGATTTCATTATTTTCCAGTTTCTTACGTTATAACAAACTACAAGCTAGTCTTTGGCCTATTTCCTTCACAAAATATTACAAATTATACCTTTCTGATATACAAAGGTTTTTTTCATAATAGATCAACGTGGTCCAAAGTCGGTAAGGTTAATTTTTATGTCGAATTTTTATTATGAACAATTTTTATCAAGAAATGTTGACTATCAGGCCTTTTTACCGTATCAAGATTCAGCTTCGGTAGAACAATTATACGGCAACGGGTGCAAAAAATCGTTCCATCCCATCCAAAGTTTTCACACAAATTAAGAATGCTGAAAAAATATGCTGAAATGCCGGGCAATACTGACAACCTTTACAATATTTCGTCTAACACAA